ATTTCAGAACATGTTTAACAAAAGATCCTAATGCAAAGTTGGCCATTTCGCAAAGAGGTGGAGACATGTCCCCAGAGACCCCAGGATAAATGACGCCTATGAGAGAAATACAGCTTTGCAGTCTGACAGACGTTAGTATTTGTGACAGGTATCAGTGTTTGTGATTGTTCTGACCTCTTGAACTCCTCCAGGGGGCTGGCGTGAGTGTGTGTGTGTGAGTGTGTCGGGGGGGAAGAGGTCAGCTGATCCGGCTTCAGGCTGTTTGAGAAGGCGTGGAGGTTTTTCACTAGGAGACGAACCACCAACACGTGTTCCTCCGTGGGGCTGAACGGCTCCTGGAGAGAGACAAACAGTCACTAAGAGCTTCATAAACACACACACACACACACACACACAGTCCAGCCAATCAGCTCTCAGGTACACCAGCAGCCAATCAGAACGCAGCCCAGTCCCAAAGCAGGTAAACTATCAACCAAAGGCTTAGCGTGGTTTAATTGTTCTATTAGAGTACAGAGGTCTCACAGATCATAGGTAGTTACAATACAAAATTATTATGAGTATCATGAATTACTTTACCAAGTAGAGGGAGTAAAACGGTTTCAGGTTTTGTCAATGCTTTACAAAAATAAAGTAAATCCGGTATACAATTTACCCCTTTGACACTAGATAAATGACAGAATTAAAGGTGGGACCTCCGTGCTCCATTAGCTGCTAAAACAAAGCTGCTTTTTTTTTTTTTAAATGATGCAAAATGTCATATAATGCAACGAAACACAAACCCTACCTGAAGGACGTTCAATTAAAAATATTTAAAGGAATGTAGAGCCGATAATTAAATGATTTAATGACTGACATGTTAAATTAATGATTGTTCAGAGTGTAGTAGTGTCTTTGCTCTTCTAAGATAATTATACAGATAACATCATCAAACCACTTCAACATGCACGAAGCAACGAAGCACACCAGTGTAAAAAGCATGCCTTTAAAAAAACTGAACCACATACAAACCAGTAAAAAAAAAGAAGCTCAAATACTCAGATTACAAAAAGCTGCATTACAGGATTACTTTTCCCCGTCAAGGATACTTCTCCGCAGAGATTCATCGTCAAAAGAGCCTGTAATGAACAGGGAACTAATGCCATTTAATAAAAGGTGGTTGTCTTTATCCATTGGGTTTGTTTTTGAAAATATTTAATGCATCAGACATTAGCATCTCCCTGGTTCCCTCCACAAAAAGCTAATGGGTTTTCTCAATGGGATCCTTATAAGCTATAAAGGAACTACAGCACGGTCACATGACTTCACGTCACCACCGCTAAGCTAAAGGAGGCTAATGTTGGGCTATAAAGGAACTACAGCACGGTCACATGACTTCACGTCACCACCGCTAAGCTAAAGGAGGCTAATGTTGGGCTATAAAGGAACTACAGCACGGTCACATGACTTCACGTCACCACCGCTAAGCTAAAGGAGGCTAATGTTGGGCTATAAAGGAACTACAGCACGGTCACATGACTTCACGTCACCACCGCTAAGCTAAAGGTGGCTAATGTTGGACCTTAAAGGAACTACAGCACGGTCACATGACTTCACGTCACCACCGCTAAGCTAAAGGAGGCTAATGTTGGGCGTGATGACGTTTAGTTGTCTCATTTAGACACTTGCTAGCAACCTTTTTGTTTTTATCCACCAGTGGGGTATTTACTGACGTATTTGATGTCTTAGAATAAAAATCTCTTTAGCATCCTATAACCACAAGCTTAACCAAAAAACATTGACTTCCAGAAGAGCCAACCACGAGTGCTAACCTGCTATTTTCCAGGTTTTAGGAATCATTCCTGCGCCCCTCTTTATGAGAGAAGTATCCTTGACGTTGACCCTGACTGAGCTTTACCTCCAGGAGACCCCAGAGGGACAGGGGTGAATGAAAAGGTAATAGTACTTGGTAGGTGTTGAGGGTCCCAGAGCCTGGTGGGGTGAAGGGTTGGCTCGGCATGCTGGACATACTGAGGCGGTACTGAAGCAACGCCAACTTCTCCCCCGTTACCACCAGGGGGGAGAGGAAGAGGAAAAGGAGGAGGAAGAGGAGGAGGAGGAGGAAGAAGAAGGAACAGACAAGATGGCGGGAGGAAGGTACACATGAGAACAGAGGAAAAAAGAAACAGCGAAAACAGAGAGAGCAGCGGGACAAGAATATTGGCCGAGATGAAACAAACAGGAGGAGGACAGACAAGATGGAGGAAGGTAAACATGAGAACAGAGGAAAGGGAACAGTGAGAACAGAGAAGGACACATTGTGCGAGAGGAAGCAGGAGGGAGACAAATGGACAAACAGATCACATGATGACTGAGGGAACACTTTCACAGGGAGGGGAATCTTTTCGCTCCATAAACAACTGGCGTGTTTGTCAACAAAATTGCTAAGAATTATTCGAGTTGTGATGCAAACATGGTTCCAGGTGAAGCAACAGGAAGTGTGTGGCTGTGTTTGTGCATTTCAATAAGTAAATGAAATACAAATAATTGAAAAAATACTCTTATGTATTATCTAAAAGTAATTCCCATTCCTGTTGTTTAACATCAAAAACAGAGTAAACTCAAAACTGTAAGACTTGACCAACCAATCAATCAACCAATCAATCAACCAATCAATCAATCAATCAACCAATCAATCAACCAATCAATCAATCAATCAATCAAATAACTTAATGCATATTAAACTAGTTACATGTTATACTACATCAGGGGTTTCTGAGTGTAACACCTACGTCACTTCCGGGTGAAAATGACGGCTCCGCCCACTTTCAGGGGAAAACAACGCAGTCATTTGAACAGCGGTCGATACAAATTCTGAAGTTTTTAACAATCCGATCAGAAATGTAAGAAAACCGTGGAATGTCTGATCTTCAGAGCCCACTTTCGACGGCCAGACAGGCA